TTGTAGTTTTGGAATTTGAGTTACTCTGCTATAAAAGTTTCCTTTTAAAAAGCATTCGAAATATTTTAGACCAACTTTAGTTCCGATTTCTGAAAAGTTTGACCGGCAAAGGATAGGGGAAAAAAGGGAGAGAAGAAAATGAAACAAAATAACTCAAGATACTCAAAGTATTTTATTTTCTAAAAACACGAAACAAATTTAGTTCCTCGTGGTCTAGAGACAGAAAGCCAATTATACATTTTACGATTTCATTATTGTTTCTTGACCAGCCTTCTAGAATAAAATTGAAAAATGAAATAAGGTTACAATTTTAGGTTGTTAAATGTTTATGTGCTGTTAAATTTCAATTTTTTTATCGTACTTGGGTTGGAGACTCAGTACTTTTTTCGCGTTCACTTGATCACATGACCCGCAAGTGTTCTTATCTGACATCAATTCCAATATTATTCGAGTGAGAGTTATTTTAATCGCTAATGTAAATTTCTCGTGTATTTGGCCGTGAAAAAATTCAGAAAAACCATAAGCTGTATGAAATTTCAATCTTGCTCTGTTCACCATCTATACTCTGAAAAACTATTTCCGGTTAATCTCGGTTCTCGGTAATCATCGGTCTCCTTATGATAATTCTCGTTGAGTCAACGGGAAATCCCTTTGAAGTAACAGGACGTCTCTTCGAAACAACAGATGTAGGTACTGTTTGAAACAAGAAGATTTCGTGTTGACCAGTAGCGTGGTATGCCTTGCGATACATCCGTTGATCTGCCATTTGGAATGCATTTTGCAATTTGGAACTTTAAATTCTGGCTCTTCTGGAAAAACACGTATGTGCATAAGGAAACTAATGGCACATACGTCGTTTTTAAATCGGGCTAGAATTTATAGTTCCAAATTGCAAAATGTAGTCCATTCATAAATAGAAAAGGATCGATAAACAGGACGTTCGTAACGAACGCCTTAACAAGCGATTCTTTACTTTAGCTTCAAATGGGCAATATCGATACCCAATCGGTCAGTCACGCCTCGATACTGATGTTTACTCAACGAGAATCGTTTTTCGGGAATTATTAATAGGAATTTCTATTAATCCACCAGGAAATTTTCCTCCACGTGGTAGCATCGACGACCTTTTTCCTCCGCTAAGTTTGATAACGTAGGATTCTAAAAGAATCCATAGGTAATTTTTATCCACGCTACGGGCGACGAATAAAACAGGAAGTTAAAAAACTAAGCATTTCCTGAGTCTTAGGCAACCTCAAAGCAGAAATGGACTGAGTTAAGCAGAAAGGAACCAACCCACATTTTGGAAAAAATTGAGTTATGAGTGGTTTTGAACTCAACCACTGCTCTACTATCTATCGCCAAAAATTCAAAGTTTTTGTTGGAGCCAATTTTGCAGAAATTGAACTTGAAGTTTATCTTTTACATTGAGTCTTATGCAGGAGCCAAACTTTAAACCTCTTTTTCTCGGTTCGATCCCTATGTGGCTTGGTTCCTTTCTGTTTAACTCCGTCCAAATATCGATGCATAATAAAGCACTTTTGTCCGAGAAAGACATTTACATACCGCGTGCCAACCTTGTAATGAAGGAAGGGTGTCTTAGAGAGGGGTGCGACCATGGTTCACCCCTCTCCACTTTTCACCCTACTGCCCCGCAAGGCTCTAACCGTCGCACAGTGGTTCGAGTTAATCAGAGGGGTCGGACATTTAAATTTTGGATTAAAACTGCAAATTTTGATGTTTATTTCGTCACACTTTAAATTTTAAAGGGTGCTTCTAGAGGCGAATTTTACGATGAAATCAATGAAGTCACTTTTAGAACATCAAAAGTTTTGTATAAACGGAGTTAGGAGCTTTTAAAGTTTCCAAAATTTGTCCGACCTCTCCTGTTGGATCGATCCACTATTCGTCGCCCCTCGCTCTCACCTAATCTCCCGTACTAAGGAAAAACGCCGTATGAACCTTCAGGCGTCGCGAAGTTTCCTCCGGCAAATCACTAATTTTCAGGAAAAGTTTTGAATATTTTTTTGCCGATTTCTCGGATAATTTTGTTTGCAATTTGATTTAGAATGTCTGAAAATTTCAAGGACAAATATTCTCAATTTTTCTCAAAAATAAACATTTTATCGTAGGGAATTTGACAACTCTCGAATGTTCATACGGCGTTCTTCCTTAGTGCGGCAGTAATGAAGAACCCTTATGGCCCTGGCTGGACCTCAAAGCTTGTCTGAATTATCCAGACCAGTTTGAAGATAAATAAATGATTAAAAAAAGTTGACACGTTTTATAAATTAAAGAAATTTTTATATTAAAGCCAACTCTTTTTAACAGCTATTGAAAAAACGGAAAAATATTTCTTATTTGGACGTATTTCTGTCAGACGGAACTATGTGTATTATGAAGTGAGCCCTGTTAAGCTTAAATTCTTATGGGTCTCAGGGCTCATGGCTCAATGCACATATTTCCGTTTGACAGAATTACGCCCAATTGGCTGTGGTACCTTGATGCAACTATTCGTGTTCCACGGATGTGCGTGTTGCATGATCAAAAATTGAAGGCGTTTTCGCTTTTCTCACCTCTCCAGATAATTTTTAGCTACGATTCATCAAGAGTTCGCATGAAACTCGCATTAGTAGAAAAATATTGTGTGACGAGAAATAATCACGTATCCACATTCTTTTGACCTATATTTCCATTACTGTTGGTAATACTTTGCCTCGTTATTGTAAGTATGTGTATTCTCTGTCCATTCGATTACTTTGATATTTACGATTTAGAAATGTTTTTGAATTTCTGATGAAGCCTAGAGCAGCACTTATGTAGAATTGTTCTCTTGCAGCTTTCTGTCGACGAAAACACTAAAAATGTTTTGCCATGTGCGGCACTTCTGTTTGTTTAAAAAAGGCAAAATGGGTTAAGCATTATAACTGAAAATTCGCGGAAAATGCGCAGTTTCACAGGTTTTTCGTCCAGTGCCCCACGTTATTCACTCTCTTTTTAAATGTGTAGTAATTTATATCTTGGATTTTAGTAAAGGACATGGATTGAACAAAGTTTAAGTTTTATATAATGATACCTAAGTTGCTTTAACCGAGTATTAACTATCATTGACGATAGGTGCATGGCAGGATGCCGCCGAAACCTTGAATTTCAAAATTACCTAATCACTCTGCAAAAAGTGATGGTGTTTTAACAAATATCCACTTACTATCCACACTATTTTAAGGTACGTGAATATTATATCACTTATTTTGTTCTTCCGCAGCTCGATTTAAAACAATTATTGCAATGTTGAAGTTGTTTCTTGCGGGGTTGTCGCTCTCCTATTGGGTAGAGCACAGATTGCTCGGTTTCATTCATCCTCAGAATACTATGAGCGATGAATTGGAGTCCCCGAATTCATTCGCTCTCCGCGCATGTCAAAACATAGTCAACCAAACGCAGGACAAGTTGCTCTACACGATCGAACTCGATTCGGATCCCACATTCGTGAAGTTCAATCAACACTTACATGAGGCGTTCATTCAAACAATCGTGATATCCGAGGAAGGTAAGTTGACGAGCGCAATGTTCTCTTATCACAGCAAAAACATGATCTTCATCGTCAATGACGTCGATGAACTCTTGAGTTTGATATTATGTTCGACCTCTCAACAAAAACCGCCTCCGATAACCGGTGGATTTTCCACGGGTTCTATGAGTCATCGAGCGGATGGAGGGTTGCGTTTAAGAAGTTCCTTTCCCCACTATTGCATTCAAGTCGATGAACATTTTCTCTGGTCGAGGTCGGAGAAAACTTGTGATAAAACGATTGGTTTATCATCCGCCGAGTTGAGAGACGGCTCTTTTCTCAGTGATGCGGTTTTCAACGCAACTCGAGGTCTCTACGTCAACAAAATTTGGAATTCCAAGAATCACCTGATTTTCTTCATGAAAAATTTACGTTATAATTTCAGTAAGTCAAGTCCTAAACCCCGGCAAAACTCGAAACATCGAGAATTTGCAAACGACACCCTCAATTATCGCGAAATAGATCCGTTTAGCAGCGTGACGTTTTGCTTCAAATTTTTTTGGCGCTTTTTCAAAGGCCGAAAAGCGATAATTTGCCACCCTCAAGGTTGCGAAAAGTATGACCCTTTCACAGAAACTCTAATTTCGTTCGTAGGAGAAAATGATTTCGATTTTTTCGATTTTTCTTGGAAGAACATGCATAAAAAACCGATGATAGCGCAAATAGACTTCCGGGTTAAATCCAATATGCACGTTGTGAACCCCTACACTTGGGGGAAATGGTNCCCCACTTCCCCTCATCCAATTTATGAGTTTTTAGGGATTTAAAAATCGGGGACGAACCCCAGAAAATAATTTATAGTTTTCCCGAAGCATTGAGAACAACACCTTTCAAATGAACCAACGCCCCTCGCAATTAGTACAGTGGTTGATTCACAATTTCATTCTATTTTTCAAATTAAATATTAAGATATGCACGTTGTGAACCCCTACACTTGGGGGAAATGGTTTGATTTTCATGTTATTGCCGTCAAGTACCTCGCCACCTCTCTAAATGGTACTTTCAAAGTCGGTGTAGCAGACACACTGCAATCGTGGTTTGATTTGCGTGAAGAAGAAGACGGCTTGAGGTGTGATATTAATTTGCACATATTTGGAGAGAATGGAGTCTTTTTGGGAGATTCTGATACCTTAAAAATTGACTTTGCGGTCAGCATTGATACTACCGCTGTATGTGTTGCCGCTCCACACAGTACCTTCATGTCTCAAGGACTCGTAATTTTTGTAAGTTTCACACCAATCGTCTGGGCTTTGACTTTAATTACCATCTTTGTCCTTTGCTTTATACAATACTTTTTTCAGTTTTCCCAGTACGTGATTTTTGATAAACTGTATTCCGAAGACGAGAGGGATCATTTCAGAGGCACTTCGTCGGTGTTGACCGTCTACGCATACTTCGTTTGTGGAAGTCCACCGTCTCTGATTTCTGGCCGTGTAGTAACAGGCAAGATTCTTTTTGTAATACTTAGTTTCTTTGCTCTCATCATGTCCACAGCATTTTTAGGCAGCATGACAACTTTACTCAGCAACCGAGTATTATATGCAGAAATCGACTCTTTAAAGAGTTTAGAGGAGTCCGACCTTTTCATCGAAACATTAAATGCTGTAGAAAGAGAAACGGACCTTAATTTCTTAGTGGACAGATCGGAATCATTGAAAGCAAAGTTGGTGGACAATCACTTGTTCTACGAAGCTGAATTTTACGATGAATTTGCTTCCATCGACTCTTTTGAAACATTGGAGACATTCCGAAATGCATCGTTAATGCTCTCTACATCAAATTCTAACGCCTTTCTGGTGAGTATGCCTTTCATGTCAAACCCAAAGGAAAGTGTCATCATAAAGCCAGACTTCCAAGAACCATTTGAATACCATCTGGTGAAAGAGTGCCTCATGATGCATCCTCTTACAATGCCAATCCTAAAGAATTCGATATTTTATGATAAACTCAATCAAGTTATCGCTCATATGCTGGAGACTGGACACGCTAGAAGAATTTTGGATGAAACATCGACGGATGCCGTTAGGTGGGGCAATTCATCTGTAAGAGAAGTAAATGATGAACCAAGAGCATACGATATGAATGACTTACAGTCAGCTTTCATCGGTCTAGGCGTAGGTTTATTTTTCAGTTGTCTTGCCTTCATCGGCGAACTTTCCATAGATATATTTCAAAGCTCTGCTCCTGTTAAATTTTTCAGGCGCATGAATATTTCTTAGGCGCGATGGACTTTAAGTAACTTGGACTTTTAGAAATTGACGAGATGATGGGCCAACCCCGGCGGGGTAAGAATTTAAGTTTCATATTCATAGATACATCTCCTCGTCAAAACACGCATAACCGATTAAAGACGGTTGAAAAGTATAAGATCAACCGATAAAAATAAACGGGGGAAAAAAATTAAACAATCAATAAGTGAGGAAACGAGCATTGATTTGAAATGATGTCATCGAACACGCATGATACATTACTGTCTTATAAATGCTATTTGTGACAATATTCTAAGCGGTTCCGGGGGAAAAGGGCGTATCCCCCAAAATTATGCAATTGTTTTGTGCAATGGCAAAGCAGCATGAAGTTTACGCTATTTTCAGGTTCTAAGTCTATTAATCGTACAGAGTAAAACTTGCAAAATTGAACGTGTTTAAGTAACCGACAGACTTCTGAAATTAAAGAAAACATAAAAAATCAAAGACACAAGACGCATTCAAGCACCATTATTTCCAAAAGAAGCGAGCCAGTGCTGCGATTTACACGAGCTTAAGACATGAGTCTGCAAATCCATCCTAATAAAGAATCAGACAAGAAGCTGAAAAAAGAAGGAAGAACGAGTATCAACACAGCCGAAAACGGGAGAGACGTAATCGGGCCTCTTTTTTAACTTTTCTCCCGAATCTGAGCGACACCTCATTGACAAGAGAGTTCAGACAAGAGAGTAAGACTGAAGCCCTAATACTAGCTGGCAGCGTTAAAGACAAAGATGTAAAGATCAAAATAGATAACACCCTAGTTAAAACTAAAAATGTAATAAAAATTTTGGGATTTTATCTTACAAGAAATCTTAAGTTTAGCAAACATCTTGAACTTACCTGTAACAAACTTAGAAAAACTGCTAACCATTACAATCACATCCTTCCCAACAAATTTGGACCCACTTACTACAGACGTAAAATGATTTTTCACGCACTACTCTCTATCCTATTTTATGGCGTCACGATCTGGATTACCGCTATGCAATGGAAAAAGACAACCACTTTAATTGAATCCTCAATTCGACCATTAAAGAAAACTCTGATATGCGGGTACAAATCCGTATCAAATTTTGCTCAAGATACAATCTCCGGAATCCCTCCTTCCAACCTTCTAATAGAGCAAAAACTTAGAATTGCAAGAGGGGAGAATAAATTAGATGTAGAACAAGATATAAGAAATAAATGGAGAGAAATCTGGATGAATGAGAAGGGCAACAAATGGATTAAAACCATATTGAAAAATCTCGACGACTGGATAGATCGCAGGCACGGCTATCCGGACCGGACTTCTATATTACCCAGTATATGTCAGGCCATGGGGCCTTTGGAACCTATTTAGAAAAAAGACACATAATAAATTCTCCCCTATGCAAATGTGGCGAGCTCGATACCCCCGATCACACGTTCTTTTCATGTAAATTTAATAAAGCCCCTAAGTTAGAATTAGAAAATAAGTTGAACTCTAAAATTAATGCAAATAATTTATTGGAATTAATGTTACAAAATAGAAATTACTGGAAACTTGGTTACAAGTATATTAAGGATATATTAGAGTTTAAGGCTAAAATCTATAAGTCAGTTGAAAATAACAGAAACAACTCAGCACCAAAAACCCCCGATGTAATGCCTTCAGGCGGTTCCGGGGCTGCATTAGATTAGTTCTCTATTTCTTAGAATAAGATGTATATAATATGTATCTCTCACCAACATGTCATTGTATTCAATTATCTAATAAATAAAAAAAAAAAAAAAAAAAAGAAAACCTCATTGACAGCATATAGCAAAGCATTGAGAGCTCACGCTTCGCGTCATCGCGCCTTCAATTTTTCAGATGCAGCATGGACGTCCATCAAGTACGAATAGTTGTATCTCTGCGCCGTCGTAAACGCGCATCCTTTCCCTCGCTCTATTTCCATTGTGTTCGCTTGCGTTTGTCGATTCGCAATGGTGCTTCAAACTAGTAGCATGGAGCAGAGCATTGCGAATTCAGGACTCACGCCATCGCGTCTTACATTTTTCATACGCAGTGTGGACATCCATCATGTGCGAATAGTTGTATCGCGTTTACACTTTAGATGTTTCTTATTTTTTAATTTCGAGATAAATTAAGGTTAAGTTTGTCCGAGACATGCCATGGTATGTCCAAGTCATAGTTATTCTTAAAAGGAAGAAATATGTTTAAAGGTCTCTCGAGAGATCCATAAGGGGTGCGTACGTCTAAAATTCAAACCGATCATCACTTCTGAGAGAGTCACACATAGCGAATGAAGGAGGGGTATGATAAAGCGCCTGTATGTCAACAAAAAGGTGACAATTTCCCAGAAAAGTGTTTACGCTTCAGAAATTAGTTATTGGACCTCTTTTCTTTGCAACCCCCCCCCTTCCATGTTCCTTTTCTTTTTGCCTCCGGGCTCAGAGAAGGGGCGCAAGGCACATAGACTTACCTATTCCACACATTTTTTCTGCTCCTGATGACGAGGATTCTCTCTCTCTCTCTCTTCATAGTCTCGATAAAATTCAAAATTTGGCGCCCCCAAAAAGCTCGCGCTCCAGGCTCCAGCCTGACCAGCCTGTACTGTAATCGGGCCCTGCGCGTTAGTCAGAAAGGAATCAAGCCACATCAGCTATTGCAAAATTTACTTGGGCAATCAATTTAATTTTTTATACATGAATACGATTGTCCGGATTTTCGCGCATATTTCGGTTATTATGCTGCATAGTGTGAAGCAAATTCCTTGAAATTTTCAAAGGAATCCGCCCTTACGTTCTGTTGTAAAAAAATAAATTGCCCAGTCAGAATTGGCAATAGCTGATGTGGCTTGGCTCCTTCCTGCTACACGCGGTCCAATTGGGGTTGAATTTACTACTAATTTGAACAATGTAGTGGTTTGTTAGGCCAGCGTCTGATGTGCGACTGACTCTAATTTGTGTCATCCATGCGTCATTTTAAATGTCATCAAGCATACGACATGGAGTCATATGAAACAAGTAATAAAGTTGTGTGCAAGAGCCTAGCTGGACGTATTTATGTTAAAAGGAACTATGTACAAGTGGAAAGATGGGGTGTGCTCGTGCAAACTGCATAACAAACAACGTAAAAGTTGATATAGTTCCTTTTGAGAAAATGGAAAAGCGGGATTTTCAATTAAATCAAAAGGAACTGAGCGCTAACTCGTGAGCCGTGGGCATGTGACAAGAGTGTCGTGGACATGGCTCGTGAGTTTAAGAGTTCCGAGGTATGCAAACAAAGGATCTACAGCAAAAATAAGTCCACAAGCAGAAAGTCTACATTTAAAATATCTAGAACTAAAAAATTCACTACGAAAACGTCTACAAATAATAATGTCTTCTAAAAAAAAGTCCATACTCAGATAGTTCACTTCTGAATGGAGTATGTAGAGTGAACTCACATCAGTTACTTCTTCAGTTGTATCTATGGAGAAGAATCACCGTGTATTCATTTTTATTTGATAGACGCGTTATAATATGTAGACATTTACTTTCTTAGGCATTCTAAAAGAAGACTGCTCAATTGTAGACATTTTGACTGTAGACCAAAAAATGTAGACATTTTTCGAGTAGACCTTTTTTTCGTAGACCTACTGTCCGTGATTCAGTTCCGATACCGATCTTCCCGTCGCGCCCGGGCTCGATCGTTGCCGCTGACGTCACTGGCGCTTTTGAATTCCCATTCATTCTTATGGCCCTTAACCAACGAGCACACCCCATCTTTCCTCTTGCACATAGTTCCATTTACCATAAATATGTCCAACTATTTCTACAAAATTATCCCCCAGTCATTCTTTTCTGCGCTGATTTCATTCTGGTTCTTTCTCTGAAGTCGTAGCAGGAGGGTTCAGCCGTGTGGACTCTTCAGCTTCAAATAAAGCAGCTTGTTCTTTCCGAGAGACCTGCAAAAAATCAACGATACCTGGTAGGTTAGGTAACCTCGAGTTAGGTTAGGTTAGGTTAGGTTAGGTTGCAATTACCCGCCATCCCAGCTTTGGACAGCAGAGTGGACAGCTTGAGTCAGGATCGGTATGGCTGAACTTCGCACATATTTTTATTTCCGTTCATTTTTCACATTACATGTCTTCAAATAGATATATTTTAATAAAAATTCTCGGAAAATTTTGCCCTAATATATCGTAAGTTTTTTATTCGTAATTTAGATATGGAGAAATTTATACAAAATTCCATTGCACTTTGTTCCTTAATTTTTCGTTGAAAAATATATAGAGCTGAATTAGGCAAGGTGAAATGGCTTTTAACCATACTTGATTCTGATTGCACCCATCAAAATTATTTCATTGCCAGAAAAATTCTACTAGGCAGTACGTTCACGGTAAGAATTCTGATTCCTTTAAAGCAATACCAGCATATATAGTAATACTACACAGTATGGTACTATATTATATAGTGAGACAGTTTTATTTCTTACTTTTGACTTTTCCATCGCCCAGGGCTGAACCTCTCCGTCGGCGAAGATCCCGTATACAATAGCTCCCAACAGGTATATAAAACTAGCGACCAGAAACACGTTCTGCCACTCGGATGGTTTCTACCTCATCGCATGAAAAAAATAACGAAATTTATCACTATCGTAATTCAATAAATCGGCCAACTTCAAACCAAATGACTTCCTAAGAGGCTTTTGCTCACTTTGTATACATACTAGAAGACTGTCACTTTTGAACATTTCGCACATAGTATCTATAGTCTTTCTATAGTCCTACTATTAATCTTTGTAACTCTTGTCTATTCGGTGAAGGGCGCTTACACTTCTCTTCCGAATTCTACGAGGAAAAATCTTAATGCATAAAGAGGGGGGGGGATAGAAGTCTATTCTTGATCATGGAATCTGTAGTCCCTAAGATTTCAGGTCAAAAGAAAATCACATGAATTTGCATGTTAATTTCAAATCTTTTCAACGGCATGACCTAGATTTATTCTTTAAAAAAGCAGGTTTAAGAGAGGAAGGGAAAATCTATTCAAAAAATATTTTACTAGAGTTAAAGGTTGGATTTAGGAAAGAGTATTCAAATATGTTAAAAATCAGTTTTTACCTTGTTTTGCACTAAATTTCCTGCTACTATTGGACTTATCATTCCTGGAAGTGTGGCGATAGTGTTCGAAAGTCCCATCAATAAACTAGCGTATTTCGGGGCGATATCTAAATGATTTACACTGAAATGGAAATGAAACACGAAGCATTGATCTATTAGAGAAGTGAAATAATCATTACTAATAAGAAATATTTATTGCATTATGGTCTATTGGCCCATTCCCGAAGCAAAACAAATCCCCCTTAGCAGCAAATAATCGATCGAAAATCTTTTTGTTCCTTTTTTTAGAAAGTTCTCCTCATTCTACCAAACCTACTGATGCATCAGCCTTAGGTACAACTGATGATCGACTAATTAGGGGAAAAACAATAAGTTTTGACAGTTTTTGATAGCTTCTCTCGCAGTGTAACCAATTTAGTTCGTACGGATTCCTTTCTAAATTTACTAAATATTCCAAGATAAAATCAAAAGTTTGCGTTCCTTAAAGAACAGGGTGTGCTTGAATTTTCTTCTTCTTCTTTTCTTTCTTTTGTTTCTTAACACGAAATGCATCATTTAAATGACTCTCATCAAAATCAGCCTAACAGCGTTCAACTATGCCTCATTTTCTCGTTTTCAAATTGTTTTAACCTGAAATAAATCCACGCAATGGACCACTAGACAAGGTACGAATTACAGCATTTTGATACATGTTTCTGAACCAAAATTTCACGAAAAGCACAATGCGCACAACGAAAAGTACCGAAATCAACTCCTTACGAAGATAATTAAAAATTCTTGATGCGTGAATTTAAACCGCCCGCGCATGAAAACTCATTGCTCTACGTGATTCATATCGCGCGCTAAACGTTATCATGACAGTCTCTGCGATATAAAAATCTGGCAACCTCAATGTTGACGCTTTGGCTCAGCTATAGCAAATTACTTATAGTTCGAACAAAACACGGTGGGAAATGAACATTGCTCGACTGAGAGGCTTGCTGAAACCGTTGTAGTGCTCGATTTGACTCACGTAGAGCTTTGAGTTTCTTGTGAGCGGGCAGTTCAAATTCTTCGTAACCAATGTGAAATAAAAGCGTTCATATCTTCGTAAGGAGTTGATTTCAGTAATTTTCGTTCTGCGAATCGTGTTCTACGTAAAATTTTGGATAAGAAACTGGTATCAAATTGCTTAAATTCGTACCTTGTCTAGTGGTCCATTCTTAAAACTTTCCTACAAATTTTTCCTGGGTAAAAAAATCCATCTCATTTCAAGGCACAATTTTTTAAGTGTCAAATCTAAAATTAAAAGTAGAGACCAAATTACGTAACTTGTTACATAGTTAGGTGAATTCCAGTGAGAACCAGCCTCCTTTAACTGACCAACATTTTGCAATTCATTATGAACTACAATTTCTGGCTCATTTTAGAAACAAGACATGTGTCATTAGCTTCTCCATGCAAATAGGTAAATTTATCTATGGGTCAGAAACTGCAGTTCTTTATAGCAAAATGCAGTCCAACTAGGTCATACCGAGAGATACCTGTAAGAAGTCAAAGCAAGAGCGCCCAGTCCGCAAGCCATGACAAGACATAATATGACGGCAGCAGGATGAGTCAGATGCGATGCAGCAAACATGAAAATGGTTTGGCTGATAAAACCTGTGCAAGTGTATAGTTTTCGAGTCTGTAATTGTAAATGAATGCGAAGAATCATCATAAATTGATAATTGATTTGAAACTGTTTTTAAACAAATTACCTTCACGTATAAAGTAACGCTCAGCATAATCATAATTGGACCTTGTTAAACAGAAAGGAATCAAGCCACATCAGCTATTGCCAAATTTAATCAGGCAATTTAATTTTTTCCATAAAACCGGTTGTGCGGATTTTAGTTCAAATTTCAGTGAATTTTTTCCATAATACGAGGCAAATTCCCTAAAATTTTCAAAGGAATCCGCACAAACGTTCTCTCGTAAAAATTAAATTGCCCCCTTAAATTTGGCAAAAGCTGATGTGGCTTGGTTCCTTTCTGTTAAACGCGGTCCAATTGCTCTTAGCATTACCTAATTTCCTCTCATTCTTTCATAGAGGATTATACACATTAAAATTCTATGCGATTTTCACTAAAACATGAAGAATACATAACTATATGCATCACTACAGAGCGTATCTCAATTTCTACCTGAGTCCTGCTCTCCGTATAATTCAACGCTTTCCGTGACTCATGGGAAAATACAGATACGGGAATACGCCCTTACGTCAGAGGAACAACAGAATTAGCCTAAGATTACTGAAAATAATGAGCAAATTGGGAACGGATTTCCCACGCAGTAAGGAAAGGTAACAACAATTTTGTATTAATACGGAAGTATAACACAAATTGGATGTATTTCTGTCAAACGGAACTATGTGCGTTATGACGTGAGCCCTGTTATGCATACATTCTTATGGGTCTCAGAGCTCATGATTTAATACACATAGTTCTGTTTGGCAGAAATACGTCCAATTAACACAAACTGCTAGTGAATTTTTTTGCGTTGGTCTCCCCTGTGTCGAATCGACCAAAGTTTTGGGCTTGGGGTTGAAGTGACCAAATCTTTGTGTTATAGAAATCTGTGATCTCGTTAAAAATTAGGCGCGTATCGAAAGGCACGAACCTGGATCTCGTCATTGATAATCCAGTGCGCTAGCCACTCGCACTGCGCGACTCCTTCTAGCACCTTTGCGGTTATGCCTACCGTTTTTGCGCGTCTGGATGTTGCGTTTTCGGGAGCACGCGCTTTTAGAGAGTATACATCCATTCAAATCTCTAATCTAAATGCCGTGACGCGTTTTTTGTCAAACCTCGGAGTGGAAAATTTGCAGATGTCTTAAATTTTGTGAATTTCATCTTTGAAATAGTTAATACTGCTAGGAAAACTGAGTGCGAGGATATCATTGGTTTGTAATTTGAACAATTATTTCAGGAAGTATGAAAAAAACCTAATCTGGCAAAATACATGTGTTTAAACGGGAAATGCCGCCAGATGACGTCATAAAGCGGCATATTTTTCCACATATGAATCTATTTTTCTCCAATTTCCCATGCGAGAAAAATATTAAAGAAATACTATGAACTCGCAATCAGCTCATTCGGTACTCACAGATGAAGCAATACAATTTTTGTGTGCAAATGGAGCACTAGACAAGGTACGAATTTCAGCATTCTGATTCATGATTCTTAACCAAAATTTCACGTAAAACACGATGCGCACAACGAAAAATACCGAAATCAACTCTTTACGAAGATACTTAATGATTCCTGATGCGTAAATTCAAACCACCCGCCCATGAAAACTCAATGCTCTACGTGATTCACATCGCGCGCTAAACGTTATCATGACAGTATCTGCGATTCAAAAATGTGGCAACCTCAATTTTGACGCTTTGGCTCAGCTATAGCAAATTGCTCATAATTTGAACAACACATGGTGGGAAATGAACATTGCTCGATTGAGAAGCTTGCTGAAACCGTTGTAGTGCGCGATTTGACTCACGTAGAGCTTTGAGTTTCTTGTGAGCGGGCAGTTCAAATTCCTCGTACCCAATGTGAAATAAAAACGTTGATATCTTCGTTAGGAGTTAGTTTCAGTAATATCCATTGCACTAATCGTGTTCTACGTGAAATTCTGGTGAAAAAACATGTATCAGATTGCTGAAATTCGTACCTTGTCTAGTGGTCCATTCTCCATTGTCCGAGTTTAGATTTTCCAACTTACTTGAGTGGTCGTCAGATGAGTGGATCGTAACCAGTCGGCAAGGTAGCCGGATACTTGAATCACGATGGACATGACCAAATACGGCAGGGCAGATATGAACCCGGATCCGGACAATTTGAAGTTCAAAGTATCTAGGAGAGATCATTAGGATTAGTGTATATTTTCCGTAAGGGAGTATATCGTATGTGGCCGCCTGGACAGGACGCGCTGAAAATTCAGTTTATTCATTCGCAGTAGCGACACTGAAAATAAAAGTATCTTGGATCCAGAGCAGTGGCGTGGCGTGCTTTGCAATATATCGGTTGATCTGTCATTTAAACCTATGGAAAATGATCGATAAACATGCCGTTCCTAGCGAAAACCTTAATAATCAATTTTTCACGGCTTTTTTCGAGAGGGAAAATACGTTTAAGTATTTAAATTTGTCTCCTTCCTCCGTTTTTCAAAACGCCTTCAATAATGATGATACTCCGCAACACACAGGAGCTCAAATAGTGGTATCACAATAACTTGATCGTCTGACATGGCGTATTTAAATGTGTCTCCTTCTTCAGTTTTTCAAAACGCCTTCAAATAATGATGATACTCCGCAACACACAGGAGTTCAAATAGTGGTATCACAATAACTTGATCGTACGATATTAAGTGCGCACATTGGATTGAGTTAGAGGCAACCCGCAAGGAGGTAAGTTTTTTGCGGGTTGATTATTGAACTTGATAGACAAAACGATGGACAAAAGAGCCTACGGGAAAATGAGGCAATCCGAATGGTTGAAACGGGTGGTTGTTACAGACTAAGGGGAAAATTATGGACTTACTCTCATGGACATCCCTCGTGAGTAGCCGTTAGTTGGTCCATTACTTGTCTCCTTCCAAGGAGACAAGTATAATGGACAACTCCTGTCTGTTTCCCATTGCAACCACCCACCTCCACCGACCGAATAGCTTTCATTTTCTCTTTGAACATTTTTTCCATAACTTTGTCTATCAATTTTAATGACGTGTTGCCAACTTACAATTATCATCGCCGATCAAAAAGAACGAAGAGTTTGTTGTCACGTAATCGGGCGAACTTTTTGGTTCTTATAATAACCTTTTCGGTTCAACCAATGAAATTCTCTGTTTCTTATGCTGTTTGGAGGTTCTATCTACAAAGAACTTATAACTGCAACCTTGGCTCGAGGCGCCTTCGCTTTCTTATGATACTTTACGCTTTGCCACGTGGTTTTTATAGTTGCCAATCCGATGCGGTTCAAACCAAGGATACAGAAGTTAAGTTACGGCACACTTCAAAAGCGCAATGCGCGGCACAGAGGTCGTTGCTGCGCAGTCTCACCATACTGATTACATTTTACGAGTATGTGTTTTAAGCGCTCAGCCGCTACGGAGCGATTTTTTATCTCGAGCTGCCCATAGAATTCTATTATACCAGTGGCAATGCGTTCAAATGGCGTACCGGCTCAATGACAAGATGGCGGAAAGGGGCCTCATATATTCAAAATAGATCTTTAAGTGTTTTACCGTTGTTTAATGATACTCATATCAAAGAGCGAAGGACGATAATAATTTTTCTATAATATATTTGTCTAACAGTAGTGTGCTTTTCTCAAAATTGATAGTTTAAATTTTGATTAGGCGAGTTCTTTCACTCAAGTTGCTCATCTTCTTCGGCCAATTTAAAAGCGCGCCTACAAAGAAAACAGCCGAGCGCTTCTCTAATACGAACGTATTAGAGCTTTCCGCTTGTTTTTCATTGTCAGTGTTGATGGGAAAACTTTACTCTGATTGTGAGTTAAGTTGGGTCTTGGTCCATTTTTACATCGGTTATTTTAAAAATTGTCCTTGTATAGAAGAGATTATAAAATCACTGCGTTGATTTATACGAGTAAAATAAACACAAGGCAAAATAAGGTAAACATAAGATAAATAATCATAAGGTAATTAATTGATTCATTGATTACCTTGCATGAATTTTGGCAGCTGTGTCAACAAGGTGTAAAAGCCCCAGTTCTCACAGAAATGAGCGCAGACAATCGCCCAGACGGGCATAGAGGTAAATATGGCTTTCCACGGTACTGATATCTGAAATCAAACGGCCTAATCACTGTACGGCTTGAATGACCATCACTCATATTGTTTCGTCTCGAATGTCAACGCTCAGAATTTTAGGAAAGTTCCAGAAAGCTAAGTGTGCCCAAAGTGGCACAGGGTTAGAAAAGCTAATAGTTCCATGGAACTATAAAAGCACGCCTCTAGCTTAAAGCATCGAAGTCATGTCAAGTAAAGTGGTTGATCCTGGAGGAGAAATATATATGCACAGTTATAACCTATTGCCATGGTAGGAATATTTAAATGGTTCCGAATTGAGTTTTCATTAGTCTCTAACTAATTGCTGGTGGTGTAAGGAAGAGACAATAGTTAAGAAAATATTGTGTGAGACAATATTTTAGGGGATAAAGGGTCGAGAGGCCAACCAATATTCTGCGGAACCAAAATACTACTTATTTGGACCGCTGTCCGGCCCAATTAGTTTCTCTATTTATAGATGGGTGTTTTATGTATAAGCCAGAAATCGTAGTTTCGAATTGCAAAATACAATTCAATTATTGTGGTTCTCAATTTTTTACCTGTCTAGTGGTCTATTGTTATAATTTGGACTATATTTTGCAATGAGAAACTACAATTTCTGGCTCATACATAAAATAACCCATATGCAGAAGCAAACTAATAGCTTTTTTGTTTTTTCTTCAAGGAGTCATAAAGTGAAGTTCTTAATAATTGCAAAATGTAGTCCAATTTTTTGTTACCTTTTCATCTGAGATGTTACCCAGAGTGTCTTGAATATACCTCAGCTCCTCCTTTGATATGTAAGGATCGTCTTTTGGTCGATCTTTGACAATTGCGAACCAAATTAGAACCCAGAGCAAGCCAACTATACCTGTAAAACAAGGAAATTCGAAGTTGAGAGAATGAGAAAGTATGGTGACAGAATTCTGTAACTCACTAGAATTTAGAAAAAAATTCTTAGCAAGACGTCCATGCTATACGTTTTACTTTATTTTCAGCTTTACAGTTGGTAGTTATGACCAAGGATGTGGATAATGATTTGACTGAAATTCTGATTTTCCCAAAATAATCCACCAAAATGGTTGAAATAAGAAATACATCGATCGTATCCAGAATGCATTGCGCCAAAGCTGTAGATCCACCCTTAAATGAGAAATAATAACAGGTGGATCCTCACACACGCTTTAGATAAGAGGAGCGGAAGAGGGGCCCTGGGGGCTTCTCTCCGAAAAATTTTGAAAGTTTTAAAGCATTTGCTTTGCAGTTTGGGTCAATTTCGTCATGAATAGTTACCGAATCTGAGTGTCCACTGCTCATCCTTCGCTCTTTCCTTCGGCCCTTCCTTCTCTCCTCTTCTTTCTTCCTTTTTTCGGGGCAAAGGGGGAGGGGTGGGGGAGCGTACGCCCTCAATGCCTGCCCCATGGGTCCTCTTAAGGATCCTAGCATCACCTGATTTCGCTTGTCAGGTTTTGAATTTTAAATACTCATTTACGTTTGAGCCGCGAAAAAGGGGCAAAACCATTGAAAAAGCTACGATTTCTATTTCTTAATGATATTCGATACATTTTTCTGAGAAGATGGTCGGCTTTTTTTGCTTATTGGACGTATTTCTGCTGAACAGAACTATAGACAAGTGGGGAAGATGGGATGTGCTCTGGAAAACTGGATATAAGGCAATGTTAAAGGGGGCGTGATTCTCTTTGGGAAAATGGAGAAGTGGGATTTTCATTTCTTCCAAACGGAATTAAGAGCCAACTGTATGCGGCACTCATGAGCCAAGGGCGTGGCAAAAGATCGTTGTGGACAAGGCTCATGAGTTAAAGCGGACAACGAACCACGACCACGATTGCGGCTTCGTCGCCACTGACGTCACCGGCGCTTTATAATTCCCATCCATTCTTACGTCCCTCGACTAACGAGCATACCCCATCTTTCCCACCTATTTCTGGCTCCGTTTAGTAGAAATACGTCCTATTATGTGACCTTCCTTAGGTCTTTTTTCCAAAATATCACCTGGGACGTAGAAATTGGCGGCCCATCCGAATTGATCGGCTAGAAGACCGCAAGCAGGATAGGCAATGACCGTTCCAACGTAGCTCCCGGAAAATGCGATGGATGCCAGTTGGGTTCTCTCCAGCGGTGGCGCCCATTGCGACCAGACTGCGTGTATACTCGGGTATGTCACTCCCTACGAAGCAAGCGAAAATAAGGGTTTGTCAATGAGAAGGGTGCAATGTCCAAATATGTATTTAAATTTCGATTCTTCTCTGTGATCGTAACTATTTAAAAACTCTTTCCGAAAACTCTAAGGAAACTGTTATAAGCACATGAAAGAAAGCATTTTTTGGGTATTTTTTGAACACCGAAGAAAAATGATGCTGACGTTCGGAATGTTAAAAACTGTGTGACAACTTATAGAAGAGTGCTCAGGAGAGAAAACATTTCTCTCGAAAACAACTACTCAATGCAGAGGAGAGAAATGTTTCCTCTCCTGGGCACTTAGTCAATAATTTCTCTCCTGCCTGAGCAACGAGTTAGTGCTCAGGAACGGATACATTCCTCTCCTGAGTACCAAGTAGTTGCTCGGGAGGGAAAACATTTCTCTCGAAAACAACTACTCAATGCAGAGGAGAGAAATGTTTTCTCTCCTGGGCAACTAGTTTGTGCTTAGGGATGGAATAGTAACTGCTGTGGTGGTTAACTCAGCGTTTTGTGAGTTGCCACATCCTTATTTTTCGGTGAAGTAAAATTTATTTAAAATTTTTCACTTCAAACAATCGAATTGAAAAGAGGCACAAAATATCCTGTAAAAGTTTTTGAGCTCTGAATTTACTCAAATTTTAACTCTCGCGTATTTTACATAAAGGGATACAAAAGAGGGGTTTCCTCTTACGTGAACTTTTTAAATTTTACCAAAAAGTTATAATCTCAAAAGCCACAAGTTTTTTATGCTTTTCATCAGTCGTCACGACTAGGTCATGGTTTTAAATGGAGATGTTGCATGTGTGAGGAATTTGCGATTTTACTGTTGATTCTTATGTAAAAGTTCGCGAGAAACACGATGGTGCCACTGGTTTTCTCTGAAATCAACTCTCAAGCTCAAAAAAAGCTCTCAAGTTGAGGCCAAAATGGAGGGGATATCCCACCCTACCCTGAGAGTCCACGTCTACATGAAGACAAACTCTCCATGCAAAGATAGGGAGCAAATACATTAGCAGGGTTGCCGTGTTTTCAGTTGTGAAGTCCCCAATTAAAGTGGCAGCCCTGTCAATGTATTTGCTCCCTATCTTTGCATGGAGAGTTTGTCTTCATGTAGACGTGGACTCTCAGGGTAGGGTGGGATAACCCCTCCATTTTGGCCTCAACTTGAGAGCTTTTTTTGAGCTTGGGAGTTGATTTCAGAGAAAACCAGTAGCACCATCGTGTTTCTTGCGAACTTTTACATTGGAATCAACAGTCAAATCGCAAATTCCCCACACATGCAACATCTCCATTGAAGTTTCAAGTAAGTGAGCTGCGATTTGTTGATGTTTTAATTTCAAATTGTATAGATTAATTATTAATAACAATTAAGATCCAATTATTTACTCTTTTTGTAAATCTCTTTACTATTTTACGAACTTATAAATGTAACAATTATCATAAATCCTAATGTACAGTGTCTCTGTACATTTTGCAGATAGCTATAGGGCCGGTGGCCGGTACTCCGGCCCACCCATTATATTACTGTAAATAGTTCATAAGTTGTAACAAATAGGGTTAATACATGTAACTTGTAGTTCTCTATATATTTAATAAAGGAAAAAAAATTCTTAATATTTTCTTCATTTGCTACTTATTGACTGTGGCACACTTACGATTCCGAGTGGAACCGAGAATGTTTCTAAAATAACTGACAACATTTCAAGAATATCGTGAAGTTCTTATTTTTTAAGAAGCAACTCGATGAATGATTTGAAGCCAGGAAATTGCACTATTCATCGAAGTAATCTGAGTTATCTTTGCTGGTAACACTTAAAGAAACATGTGCCTTCCTTCAAATAATTGAAGACGGGGTACCTCAAAAAATCCTTCGATAATCCTAAGGGCGATGAGAAAATTGACACTGAGCCTAGAAAAAGGTGGTGTGATGAGGGTGAGAAGGGCAGTGACAGCCACTCCAACCCCGAAAACACGTACGCCTCCAATTCGCGCGGCTAACCACCCGCCAAACAGCTGAGTGCAGATGTAGCCGTAGAAAAATGAACTCAGAATAAGTCCTTGCAGCTTCGAATCCCAGTCGAACTCTCGTATCTATGAAAACAAAAATCAAAATCACCATTTACTTCCACCAAAAATGTTCTTCATAGAAGGAGCATTAGAAACATTTTGTGAAACTGCTTTGCAATGTCCGTTTGTTACGGAAGATTCATAAATTTTTTAGCGGCTGAGTGTGTAATCCTTAAGAAATAACTTAAAATTCGATAAGGAATTCTTAGGTTTGGCTAATAAAATGTGCCGTGATAATTTCAGGATTCACTTTTTACTACTGCTTAGTGTTTCATCACCTCCAGAAAGGGTGGCATTGGTGAGAAACGAAAGAGACCCATGGAAAATTGGAAATGTTATTGAAATATCCTATGAAATTCTACGAGAAAAAAAAAATATCGTGAATATTTGGTTGTGAAGGGCACTAATTGGAGTAGAAGATACTGCAAGCTGACAAATATTTTTATGCGGCCATTGCCAAGTTTTCTTAAAGTTGGAAAATAATTAAAAGGCTTAAGCAAATCAACGACAAGGAAAACATGAAATGTTTAAATGCTACTAATTTTTTCTAAATTAATTTTATATTTATAATATGAATGGCCAAATAGATTAAATATTCAGCCTTTTAAACGCTAAGCGCCATAACCTGGTCCTCGGTAAAAACATAATTGTATGAATAAATCACTTGTTAAATTGGTAATCTTGAGGCAAAACCCTCAACATTAATGGTCGATAATTACCACGAACCGTTGATACCGTAGTGGTTCGATTCTGTAACTCCACTTTCGAAGTATGCTCTGACGTCATGGCCACAATAGCGACGCTCAAATTCACTCTTAGGGCGTAGATGTTGAAGAATCCAAAAAAAGCTAAAAATGCAACCACATAGCGTCGCCGCTGCCAAAATTTCCATCTGGGACTGGAACACAATATGGGGGGATCATATTAAATTATCTAGTCCTCTAGTAGCAAGAAAATAAACTCACACGTGAGAAATAAACGCTCCTAGTTTACAATATAAATGGTAAAGTCAAACTTCCCACTCTTGCGAAAACCATAATCAAAGTAGGCCACATTAGGTATCGAAATCAGCCTATACGTTAGGCAATAACTATAGATCTTGGTTTTATTTACATTTCCCTCTTTCTATGTTAAACCTACTTTTCAGCTTGTTATAAATGAGCTAGCGAACAGTGAAATTTTTGCATTATAACGTACACTGAAATTAATTTAGTGCTCTATTTGACTCAAAAGACTCCTGTTTTCATGTAGGCGAGAAGTGTGAAGAACTGTAGACGAAAACCGTTTTTTTAAATTTTATGAGTAGAATTTGGAAAATTTCCATAGATCCATCGCATTCTAATTTCGAAGTAAAATTTAATGGAGGGAACATCAACTGCGGTCAGTGGCGATTCTTGAAAGCTAGCAGCACCGTTTCCCCTCACTTTAAATGTAGGTAAAATAATCTACTCTAATTTGCCCCACCAAATATCGATATTTTTAAATTAATTTTTATTTTTTTGGGATTTAAATGGAGAAAAAACAGTGTTGCCAATTTGCAAAATCGTCATTGACCACGGCACTTAATTTTATATTTCGTGGTACATTGAAATATTCTTTTTCAGAATTCTCTGGCCTCTGAAAATAGGAAGAAAAATATTCACATGTTTAGCTAAAGATTCGCTTCATATCAACAGAACTTTGACAAGTCCGTAAGTTCGGATGGATTTTTTTTTTTTGGCACGAGCAAAGCAGGACATATCCGCAGTAATAACGGAATACAGCGAAATGGATCGTAGCGCCTTTGATGCAACTATTCGTGCTCATGGAAAATGCGTATTGCGTACGAGAGTATTTGAAGGCGTTTTAAATTTTTTTTTGAATAGTTATCAACGGAGTACAGCGAAATGGGTCGGATCGCCTTCCGTGCAACTATTCGTGCTCATGGAAAATGCGTATCGCTTACGAGAATATTTGGAGGCGTTTTACATTTTTTTTGAATAGTTATTAACGGAGTACACCGAAATGGGTCGTAGCGCCTTTGATGCAACTATTCGTGCTCATGGTAAATGCGTATTGCATACGAGAGTATTTGAAGGCGTTTTAAATGTTTTTTTTTTTTTTTTAATAGTTATTCGATTAATATTAGTATTTTTCTATTAATTTTGGCTTTATCACTGATTATTACCACAGTAATAACCATTTTACTTATAATAATTGGTATATCTTTTTCTACTCTTGATGTACACTCAAATTCTCTGTTAGAAGCGGACATTTTGAGACTCCGCAATGGAGATACGTGGTTCCGCACTTTAGTCGTCGCACAGTGGATCGAGTCAATAGGAGAGGTCGGACAAAATTTGGAAATTTTCAACGCTGATAACTCCGTTTATACAAAAGTTTGAGGCTCTAAAAGTGGTTCCATTGGTTTCCTCTTGGAGTTCACTTCTAGTAAAGCACCCTTTGAACTTTAAAATGTGACGAAATAAACACCAAAGTCCGCAATTATTTTCAAATATTTCATGTCTGACCCCTTTAATTGACTCGATCCTTTGTGCGTCAATATTGCGATCCCTAAAGTCGTATCCTCCTGTCTATTGGCCAATTATTTGACTTACTTGGGGAGTGGAGGTTTGAACGGGGCAGTGGAGGGGTTGCACTCCATGGTAACCAAGGAACGGTGATCCTTGAATTTACAGGAACGCTTTAGACACGAGACACAAACGGCGACCGTGGAGATCCCGGGACGTCTGGCTGTGTTGACAGCTGCATCACTGAGCCCTTCCTGTTACCGCATCCAAAAGGAGTGGCAACTCAACGAACAGGCGAAACATAGAGCGTTCCCACTCCAGTAGTCAACTTAATAGACAATGGATTCGTTCTTGCCCTATTAGCACACCGGGAAACAATACTGTCAAAAATCGAGGAGTGAAATTCGGTGTACCGGAGTCGATATAGCTCCCAAAAACCCCCAGCGATATGAATACGAAATGAACGACCGCGTTCAGCAGAAAGGAACCGAGCAACATGAACTATTTAATGACTTAATATGATATGAATGATATTTAAATGATAAGACTTGGAAATTATTTGTAAAATTATGTATTTCTGAGATACCCCCCCCCCCCAAAAAAAAACATGAACTGTTGTCAAATTTAATTGGACAATTTAGTTTTTTACATGAAAACGGTTGTGCGGATTTTTGTGCAAATTTCAGTGAATTTTCTACTTAATATGAAGCAAATTCACCTAATTCCCAAAGGATTTTGCAGAAACGTTCTTTTGTAAAAAATTAAACGCCACCGGGGCTGAACCGTGCTACTGCAAAAAGAGTATATTCCTGTACAAAGTCAACTTTACAATCTCGGAACAAAGTTACGTTACTTCGTCCAGGTAACAACGAATTGCTGATAAGAGACATAATGAAGCATTGTCTTTTGCTGCGAGACACTAATTTCCCCGGCAATCGCACGCGCATCCAGAACATCGGTGCAATTAATTCAGTTGGCCTCATTTCTTCCGTGCTGAGGAAGAACGCCGTATGAGCCTTCAGACGTTGCCAAGTTTCCTTTGATAAAAACCGAATTTACTGGGAAAATTGTGAACATTTTTCCCCATCATCTTCAGAAAATTTTGTACGCGATTTAATCTAAAATATCTGAAAATTTCAAGGGAAAATAAGCATTAATGTCGTCAAATATACATGTTTTATCATGGGAAATTTGGCAACTCTCGAATGTTCATACGGCGTTCTTCCTTAGCATGGCATCTATGTGAGAGCACTCCGTAGTAGCCAGGTCGTTTTCCCCTATTCTGAGTGCTTCCAACGTCGTTCTCTGTCTAGAGCAGTGATATACCTGGTTCAGTATCTAGAGATGCATTCGAAACGTGGAGCTGCAGCTGCATAGCTAGCAGTCTACGGAGTCTGTAAGATCAACAACGGTGATGACGTAGGACCGCAAATGAGCGGTTGAAACGCTGCTCTGCTCTGCCTTACTAAGGAAGAACGCCGTATGAGCCTTCGAGAGTTGTCAAATTTGCCCCGAATAAAACATATATTTTTGAAGAAAGTTATGCTTATGAAGAAAGTATACTTATTTTCCCTTAAAATTCTCAGATAATTTAGTTTCAATGACGAGCAAAATTTTCTGAAAAATTGGAGGAAAAATATTCAGAATTTTCCCAGTATATTCGTTTTTTATTGAAGAAAATACGGTAGCCCCTGAAGTATCGTACGGGGTTCTTCCTCAGCACGAAAGTGCTACGGTATTGAAGTCCGGAGTAAACGATGAAAGCAAAAGGCCAATATTTGGATTGCGTTAAGCAGAAAGAAACCAAGTCACACTAGCCATTGCCAAATTTAGTTGGGCAATTTAATTTTTTACATGGAAACGGCTGTGCGGATTTTTGTGCAAATTTCAGGGAAATTTCTGCATAGTACGAAGCAAATTCTTTACAATTTTCAAAGGAATTCGCACAAACGCTGTCTTGTAAATATGTAAATTACCCAGTTAAATTTGGCAATATATTTCTGCTTAACGCGGTCGAGTTATAAGTGTCAGTAATTCTCTCAATTACTGGCGAAACTCTCAGATTTTCCTGGCTTTTCGCGTGAATATAAACAGCTTTTAAATATATTAAATTAATAAATAAAGAAAATATATTATTAATCATTAGCAATAGAGAAGGAGAGGTAGAATAATATATATTATTATGTTGTTAGATATATTAATCATTAGCAATAGAGAAGGAGAGGTAGAATTATATCGTTATGTTGCGCTATATATTGTTGCGCGCTTGGTATTCAAATTGAAGAACGCAAGCAAAATCACCACAGACTACCAGGGACCGAGAGCGGAGCAAACTAGCTATTCGCTCTTCGCTCGGGCCGAAGAGCGGAGTNTATATTGTTGCGCGCTTGGTATTCAAATTGAAGAACGCAAGCAAAATCACCACAGACTACAGCCATGAACATCACCAATTTGCAGCGGTGAAAAGCTTTAATTTTCCTTCCTTTCCGCGAGATACCATATCACATACATACTCCCGAGTCCGAGTAGTTGCGCGCTAGATTTTCGCATTAGCGGTGCAAACATGAGAAACCTTTATTACACTCTCCACCGTCGCGTTGCGTCAGTTCTTAGAATCAGATAAAAAGCTTTAATTTTCCTTCCTTTCCACTTGATACCATGACATGCATACTCCTAAGTCTGGAATCCCGCTTAATTTTCGCTTTTACAGGGGGCGGTTTTCAGTGAAACCCGAACTGCCGTGATTTCTGGAGTCGTAAGCGGGTTTCCTTCCAAATTCCACTATGAACTAACTTGAATGAAATCTCGGATGCAGCTAAAAGTGAAAAATGTATCTTATTAGTTTAAAAACTGGAAGTATGAGAAAGACGTATGTAAAAGCACAACAATTAACGTTGTTTCATACATAATTAACAGCCGTAAGAAGCATTATTCTGCCCAAAACCCAACGAGAGGCGACTGTTGAAATAGAATAGACAAAGCGATAGATGAAGAAGACATAGAAATAGTACACTATAGGGTGCGTCCGTGTCGTTCAGTACACGTTTATGCACATTTTCTTGCCAGCGGGCTGATTGTTGAAACTGATAGACAAAGCGATAGTTATAGAGGACATAGGGAGTATATGGAGCAATCTTATATTGGTTGAAATGGGTGGTTCTCATAAACTAAGGGGGTAAATGATGGACAAACTATAGGGTCTCCTGTGGCTTGCAGTTAGTTAGTCTATTACCTACCACCTATGCCCATTGGAACCACCCGCTTCCACCAATAGGATCCCTCCATATCCTTTTAGTCTTCTTTGTCTATCGCTTTGTCTATCAATTGCAGCGATCAGCTCGCAGTAACAGTTTTAGGTGTAAAAACAATGCGATTTACCGCCAAATGGACAAATATCACACATTTGGAGCTCATGACCCGTCACTTATGGGCCCAGGCCAAAATCTGAGGTAGAAGCGCGGAAAACATGGATTTTCAGCTATTTCTGGCTAAGAAGCTAGAAAAGTTCGATTTGGAACTTAAGCCCAAAAGCGACGTCTGATGATATTCCAGTATGTTACGTGTCTAGGTGTCCCTCTGTCCGTCACATCACATTCGAAGCTCATGGCCCGTCACCTTTGGGCTCAGGTCAAACAATCTGAGGTAGAACCGGAAAAAATTCGATTTTTCAGCTCGTTTTTTGGCCCCTGTTCCGCACCCAAAAAATGAGAGAATTGGCAAAAGTCGACTATGTTTGTAAAATTTGCATCGCCAACTGCCAAATATTCAAAAATTTCCAGACTTCGTGGAGGGGCCGATTTTGACCCGAATCGCAACCCCTCCTTACTTGCGTCGGCGCAAGCAAAATATCTCCTTCTGTCTGCGGCTCAAGTAACAAAACGTGCATGCTTTAGAGATTAGCTAATTGCGTCGCTCCAAATTGAAGGGAATTCAAAGCGTAGTTAAGTTCCAGTTCAACATGTGTTGACTTTAGATTTATACAGCCAGTTGCAGTTGATAGAATATGTAAAATTTAAGCCTCTATACTCATAAGCCAAGCCTAGGCTATAATCGTTAGGTTTAGGTTATGTTAGATTCACCTAGGAGGGTGAATTCTAAAATACTTGGATATTTTCATTGATGTTGTTAATTTAACAGTCATTTTCTATGGTTACATTCAATTATTTCGATTATAAGAGACTCTGAGCAAGTTATATCTGGGACAACTCTATGTCCAACAAAATAAAATAAATAAACATGGTATATTTTTCAAAGAAAACCAAAGATACTTTTTTCCTTAATATCTATATGATTTTTCTGCACTTATTCAAATATGATTTCAATTCAAAATTATATAATGTAACATAATCAAAAATCCTGAACCTTTGTAATCGAGTTACCCATTGTCGAATTCAGTCCTCAACATTGAGGTCTGAAATGAAAATCAAAAGGCTCCACTCCTTTTTTTCCATCTTTCGAATTACTGTAAATGTGTGTGTGCAGGCAATAATTTCATTTTTTTGCCACACTTTAATCCATCCAAGGACATTGATTTGCCCCTGAAGAAAATGTACGTATCGACAGGACATGAATATTGCAAGGAACTTTTCGCGATTTTCCACTCCCCTCTCCTTTACGTAAGGTTCAGCTCCTTCCATCCTCCCTTTGAGGCATTTGTTAAGACCTGGATGTCCCTCTTCTCTAGTGCCTTATTCAATTTATATATGATCATTATGAACGGCTTTATTACCGGTCTTAAAATTAATTTTAAACGCAATACTTTTGTGCTCGGGTAAAACGACGCATAAGCCCTTTGATGTTGCCAAATCTCTCTCGATAACGTACGAATATTTAGGGAAACTTTCAGACGTTTTTCTCCCAATTTTCAAGTGATTTTATTCGCAATGCCGTTCAGTCTCTGAAAATTTCGAAGAACAATATGTATACTCTGGTAAAAATTGGCAGTAGAATCTGTGCTCCAAAATATCATAGACCTACAGCCGGCTGTAAGATTTCCAATAGCTTCTATAGCCGGCTACACAATTTCTTCTAGCCTTTTATAGCCGATGGCGATTAAGCAACAACCAGGCGATAAAATGTATGCTAAACGTTACTAATTACGGATGCTAGGACTTAGTGAGTTTTTGGAATACTGCTCTCTTTTTGGGCCGTAGTATCTTGATTTATTTTGCGAGGAAAGCTCCGTACTTTTGATAGATGCCTGCCATTCCTAATATACTAGAGCGCCTTTAGTTTCGTATGATACTGTGCAATACCT